TCCGATATTTTGTGTATGAAAACCTTGTAATGATTACCATTAACCTGCAAAATTTTGTAAAGATGTGCATACACTATGAAAAATGATAGCATAATTACTCTCATGGATATTTTCATTGTTACGAGCTGGGTGGATTACACCCAGCCTGTAATGGAAGAGTTAACTGTATTCATTCAGAGAACATTGAAACGTACGAGTCAAACGTTTATGTAAGCACCTTATTGTCTAGATATACCTCTACTCAACTATCATTGTATTACTGAAGATGGAGAATTTTCATACGCTGTAGGTCCTGTGACACTACATCTGAAGTTATGTAGTTTTTAAAGGTTTATTTTGAAATAAGGACTTAAAACTTAGATAAAGTAAAACTTTGAATCAAAACATACATTATAATAATATTTTTATTCACATACATTGATAGTGAGGGTGTTTAATTAAATTTTGAATGTAACACAGAAAAGCATTTAAAGAGTTTAAAGGAAAAAACAGTTAAATCTACACAAAGCCTTTGTTTTACAAAGGAAAAAGAAGAACTGACACATATTTGAATTCAATGACAGTATGTTCTACTCAGTGGAAAAATAAATCAATAATTTTCAACACTTTTCTAACCCAAATCCTAATAATGAACTATGGTAAAGATGTGGTACATTTAAGTGTTAAAACAACTTTGGACTCTGTTTGAAATACAAGTAAAATATACCTTCTGGATCTAATAGTTTAGTAAGACCCAATTTCTGTTCTGCTACATTGAAAGCATTGTTGAGGTTATAGGTGGCATTTGATCTGGAGAGTCTTTCATACTGGATTAGGTCTGGCCTGTAATCAATCAAGGACATAATGATTAACTATTGATATTAAAAGAACTAGCAGGAACACTGCACATAGGGCAGCTGTTTGTCATAGTAATTACTAATCCTGTCATTCATACCTCATTGAAAAAAAATTATAAAAGTAAAAATTTTCTGAAACACGATTTTTTTATGGGAAGTACTGTACGAGAAAAGTGTTTAGATTGTGCTCTTTACTCAAACGCAATTCGTTGCATCAAAATGATTCAATGTACAGAGCTCAAAATTTTTATAAATTTTGTGGATATAAACTGTAATGTTTTTATATATTAAAAGTGGCACCTTTTATTGATAAAATAAGTTTTTTAAGAACTCCAGTTTCTCAGTAGTACCTTTAAAATTTACATCAATAAAGATATAATCAAACCCTCACATACAGTCCTAGTGAAAGTCGTGTTCTTGTTGTGAGGAGAGTATCTTTATTTAAAATTGTTCTACAATAAAGAAATAGTTGTTACATGTACCACAGTTATGTTTCTAATTGTCTGAATCTTGAATATCCAAAGTGTAAAATTTTTTATGGATTTTTGTTTGTGGTGCCATTCAATAGATGGTGCAGGAGTTTTGGTTACATACATAGATACTGACATTCATGTTACATCCATTATAGTAACATTACACTAACTTGTACACACTACTGCATTTAGAGCTACATGAAAAGCCATCTTTATTTCAATTTCAACTATTTTTATCACAAACAAATGTGAAACTTTAATTAACTGTTTTTAGTTTATTAATGGTTTCAAAGTGTCAATATTAGAAATGTCTTTAAAAGGTTATTTATAAAACATAAGAGTAATAAAAACACAAAAGGGAATCCTCAATACCCACAGCACTTGAAATTATTTTAGGCAGGATTAAAGTAATTTAATCTATGAGACCTTCTTTTCCTTTTTATTGGCAAAGTTCTGTGTGCCAGCAATACCAAGCATTTCTATTTCTCAGTTTTATTACTCATCAGGATCTCTGCCAGCCTACCTTCAAACTGAAATTCTTTTAGGCAGGATTAGAGTAAATTAACCTATAAAACCTTGAGCATGGTCAAATACATCAATAGAAAGGGTTTGACCTCCCGAGTTCAAAACTGCAATTAGATACCAAATCAGTCAAGAGATAACAGAACTATGAGCTAAAAGTTTGTAATTGAAAAACTAGGAGCCATTCTATGAGCCGCTATGCCACGGCTAAAAGTTTATGTATGCAAGCATCATTCAAATGACAGACACCTATTTATTATAAAAGTTGGGTTTCAGTATGTTGTGTTAAAAACATGTTTATTATTATTGTCACAAACTTTCTGATAAATCTCTATTTGAATTAGGTTGCTTACATGCAAATTTCATAAAGAAATAGTCAAATCATAAAAAATTTTTGTTGTGTATGAGTAACAAATATATGAAACCTTATGTTAACATTAAATCACTCATGCTTTTTTTTTATTCCACTTCAGTTGAGATTGAAATACTAGATCTCAAAAATATAAAAGAATTATTTGTAATTATGCATTTGTAAAAAACACACCTTATAGTAACTTAATAGGTACTAAGCATTTTGATCAGAATGTTATATTTTGAAACACATGCTAAGAAAATACTTTTTGCCTTCTGTACATAATTATTGCTAATTTTGTATTAATTGTTCAGATTATCAAATAAGTCTGTTATAAATTTAAAGTTTAATGAATAAAATGAAAAAACAATATTTGACAAGTAAAAATATTTAGTTCCATCATATTGAAAGTCAATTACTGGCAAATTAGATTTTATCTATGCTTGAGTTTATAAAGACATAATATTAATTCTTGCATTTATCTACAAGTCAACTGGGCTCCCTTATTTTCTCAATAAAGACATCTCTTCCATGGTCGACTTTAAAATATGTGCAAGTCCCATATGTTTAAGGCACATTGAAATAACACAGTAATCAATGAGACAATACCTATGTTTGTGAATGAGAGCATTAAAAGCCAATCCATCCCTCCAGCTAGTAGTGAAGTTACGTATGTTTACATTAGGATATCCTGCTGTTTTCATCTGGCACCACAACAACAAAGCATCCTTTGCTGACCGTGTTTCTTGATTGTCAACTTCTTCAATAGTTATATCTTGAATCTAAACAAATTATAATCAATTTGGACAGATATTAATATAAATTTCATGTCTTAAAGTCAAATACTCATTTTAAACAGAATTTATTGGTGAAACTCAATTTGAGTTATATTTCTAACACCCATCATATCATTTTACAGCAAACAACAAAGTGTTTATTAATCCTACCTGGAACCTCAAAATGATAGTCCATATGAGGCCAAGGGTGAGCCTTGCACTGCCATCTACAATATCATGTGATCCAAGGTTCTCTAGGTGAACTCTCTGCTCTCTTAAGAACTGAAGGGCTTTGTCCACATTTTCTAAACAGTGAATGCGCATTTTTCCTTTTGTTGGCCTTGGCTTCATATAAAAAATTTATATATATTATTAAGCTACACTCTTGGTTTCCTGTAAACTTATAATAAGAAAGGATTTTAAATTCACAGCAAAATCAAAATGTTTCTTAAAAATCTACCCATAACTCATTCTTCTGCACTAATTTATTGTATTTTGATGCAATTGAAAAACAACATGTAAATAGGGTGGATGCAAGCTTTAATATGCTTTCTAACACAAACTAGCCAATGAAGATTCTATGTACAATTTAGAACAGAACTCAAAACTCTATATAATCGTTCCCAGTCAAGGAAAAAATGCATTTCGTAACAACCCATAACAGATTCAACTTCATAACAATAGATTTTTTTATAATACAGATCACTTATACATAATCTTCCAATTTTAAAATGTCCTCAGTGATTCAAGTGTCTGACAGCCTTTCTGCAATAAGCCTCTAGAAACTGAATTTCTGGTTTAATCCTGGCAACATTTTTTGAGATATATTCATGAAAATGGATACCTTGGCCCTATAATTTTTGACTAATTCCAGAAAAAGAACATAGGATGAATCATGGTAGGGTATATTATTAGATTAATTCTAAGCTTCTTTTGTCTTTTCTTTCAAAGCTGTAGCCATGCCACAACAATTCTGAATGTGGTTTTAATCAGTTAGTTACATTCAAGAGTGGTCTTAGAATACATCACAAAATGTCTACTTTTGTGATCTTACTATTTTATGGGAATTTAAAGGGCTTTTTATACTATGATACTAATACTATGAAAAGTGACCAAGGACCATTGTTCAAATGGGTAGTGCCATTCCTTCAAAGTATGGCTAGTGGAATTTTGTCTAGTTAGAAGTCTCTGCAGTTCCTCCTGCAAAGAAAGCCACATCTTCAACAGACTGGACAAAATGTACATTTTTTCAATATCAGGACAACTGCCCCGCCAGTGTCTTTTAGTGTGCAGAAGTAACTGCACAACTGGTCTTAGCTAAGTATAGATGAAAAATACAATTTTCAGTGGGACCAATAAATTCAATTAATCTCTAGCAATATCAGTGATTATTTCTATATAGTTATTTTTTTATGGATTGTTTTCTTTAAAAAAAAATTTAAACCACCAACATGCAGTTACAACAAAACCAATTAATGATTAATATCAATTACAATCAGTTTGAAGATACTGTCCCTATTAAACCCCAAAACTAATCTATTCTAAGCTGTTGTTGAAGATCATTGTGTGAATATGTTATCCTAGTGTAATTTGTTCAATACAATGCTGAAGGAATACTTAAAAACTTTGTTGACAATTGCATATGTTTATCACATAGTTCTTAGTGTACCTTTAAGCCTAATTTGGTGGTTATGGTTTGTATAAAAATATATAACTTAACACATTAATGTCTGGTTGCATAGTTAGCTAGTTTTGCTTGTAGCAACCTAACTCAACTTGTTGCATCATTTCTTAAAACCAGACATGCTAAGTCAACACAATGATCAAAAACTTTTTAAAGAACATGTTTATGTTAAATAGAATAGACATATTGTGGATTATTTTGGCAAATAAATCAGAACCTGAACCCCCATGGATATATTAACAGATTTTGTAAAAGTAACCACGAACAAAGTTCATGCAGTGTTGTTACAAACAAATGTGTCTGGATGTTTTTACCAATTTTCTCAGTGTACTTGTGACAAGTGAACTTGTCTTTGCTGTTGAGAATATTGAAGGACAAGCTATTGAAACATTAATAAAGGCAACTTCTTACGCAATCTTAACAGTCAATGCACTAGTATTTGACATGGATGACACGAATGCTGTTCTCTTCAGAGCTGCACTTACTCTTTATATGAAGATTAAAGATACAGCAGAATCACAGCATTTTCCACCTGATCCAAAAAACACCAATCAACCTGAAATTGAATGTCAAGTCAGACCCCGTATCTTGCCGTTCTTCAATATCTTGATGCAGGGACCAGTAATGAATCTAATTTCATAGTATCTCCAATCACTAAAGATGATACCAGTGTAAGCATGTTGCCATTGGTCAGAATTTGGTTTAAGTAGCATCTAAAGGTAGAAAACTGACCTCAGTGTTGCAGTGTCAAATGCCATTCAAAATTTGACCTGAAACTGAAAGGTCATCACACTTTTGAATCAGCTCGGCCATCGTCTTTCAGATGACCAATTACTATGCACTGAAACTTCTTTTGCTGAATGACAGCAGATAGTTGATAATGATGTTACCATTCCTGCAAACATTCAAAGTAATATCTTCACACAAGCAGCTGCTGGCAAAAATGATTTCATTGAGAAGAATATTAAAAATACCACCCACAGCACCAATATAAATGTTATAAAAAGACATTACAGTAACACTCTACTATCTAGACATCATACCTCATTATAAAAGGGCTTTAAATGCAGTGAAAGAACATACATTGAAAGCTTTTATGTTATTGCAATAATTTCCATGCCCAAAATTACAGGAGATAGACTCTGTGCGAGTGTTTGAAGATACTCATTGCAAAACACTATCATTAGACAATGCTTGGATCTTGTGCACAGCATTATCTTGCATGTTATTTACACTTTGAACTGATGATCATGCCAGTACTAGCAAGAAGCAACATGTTTCAGGATGGTCTGGGTTTAATGCAAAAGCTAAAATGTATTTGCCCTGGGTATCTGTTAAAGGTTATTGGCCTGTTAATGATGCCTCACCAATACAATTCTGGACATTGCATGTAAGATCACGAGAAGAGTTGGACAGATGCATACTATACTGTTTGTTAACCATGTAATTGATTGTAGAGCTGTTGCCATTATTTTTTAAAGAAATCTGAACTGCTAGATCCACTTTTAATCATTAAAGATACTTACACTAAGGATATGGCATCTCATTCTCTTTCACTGTGGTCAGAATACACTGAAACCAATATTCCCTATAATTTTTCTTTGTACTGGGCATACTACAAATTCATCTCGGCAATACTTTTCTGTCTATAGGCAGTTTCAGTTTCCATTCCTCTTTAAAAGCTGAGCAGCACTTTTTTTGAGTGACTGTTGGCTCCTGCACTTCTGCTTTATGTTTGGACATAGTCTTGTTCAAGTTGTAGACCTATGTCTTCTACACAAAACTTATCAACTGACTAACATTACTTGTAAGCAAACTGTTGTTTTCAAAGACTGTTCTGCCAGATTGGTGTGTGGCCATGCATGTGTGCAACTTAGAGCGAACATTGGCTGAAACAGTTGACCTTCTCTCAACCTTCATTACATTAGAAAGATCTCTTATCCTCTAGGTCAATGATGCCATACTTTTTTGCATTTCACAGGAATAATTTATAATTATTTATATTATGTGCAAGTGTTGGAACTTGAGGATACGACACCATGGATTCATCAGCACTTCACAGGTGGTGATTTTCTAGTTGCAAGATCTAAGCCAAATTTCACCCAAGTACCAGTTGATCAAGCATTGGAACAAGTACTGAACAGTCACAGTAAAACAAGTAGAGGTATTGTTGGATATAAGAAAAAAGGAAGATAGTGTAAACCACTGGAAATTCGCGAAACGCTAAAGGGCTGAACTTAATGTGCCATCTTAGAGAATTGTTTGGAATGAACCAGGATACTACAACATCAGATCATAGAATTAGTAAATTCATTTTCTAATGATTAACTTGGTTGTCAATTGTCAAAAGATGCTTGGATTTTATATCAAGAAGCCCTATTCCAACTTTATACAAGACCATCTTGCTTAAGAACAGAAGTTCTTTGATCAAATTAAATGCAATAACATACTCCTGATAAAGGCAAGAGACATTTATCACCGGAATAGCCAGTTAAAAACATAGCTCTTGCTACTGAGAACTGTTCTCTATGCTTGTAGTTGTTGCTTGAACCAGGAAATTCAGCCTGAAATAACTTTTTCAGTATGAACTTGCCAATATTCCTTTGACAATTGCTACATCTGGTGATATGCTAAGAAAGACTAAAAAATCCAGCCTGTTATATAAGATTGAAGATCTAACAGTTGTGTCTACTACAATATCCACCCCTGACAAAAACTAGTGTTGTATCCTTCAACTTAATGGCACTCATATGAAAATCTAGCATGTACATCTTTTGGAAAGCATGCAGATAAATTATTTCAAGTAATATAAAATTTAAAATATAAAGTTGCAATAATATCTTATATTGTTGATGATTGATAATTTGAGATATCAACCAAAAATAGTGAATGGTCTTGTCGAGTGAAATCTAATGGAATTGTTGTTCACATTCAAAGACAACAAACTTTAATCACTAAACAATGGAGAACAATTTATTTCAGTGGCTGGGAACAAGACCAATTTAGCTGATTTTTTCCAGAAGTATTGAATAGACCATTACTCTCATCTACTGAAACCTGAACAGACACTTCTAGATGGGATGCAAAAGAACAGATATGTCTGTCCTGCCCTTAGAGTCAATTTAGCTGCTATCTCTTTTTCTAGTCTATTCTGCACCGATGAAGAGGTAGGGAGTTGGGTTTGTTTCAGGCTAAACATGCTTTTCACATGGGTTTTGAAATAGTGGTTGTACATAGTACAGATATAATGTTGCTGTTTTATGTATTGTGAATGCTTCAAAGTTTCCAGGAACACTATTTTGCAAACAGTGTGCAAACCAAGTTTAGCTATATTAACATCTCTGAAACTTGCAGTGAAATTGGGCAGCTAGTTGATATTCTTCTGGCATTACATCCCTTGACTGCAGCAGATGCTACATCTGGATTTACTGGAATTGTAAAGAAAATCTCTATGAACATTGTCATTTGTGTGTTGACCTACTGCAGGATCTTGGAGACTACTTCCATTGTTCAGATGAGACAACGTGCTCTGGTGAGAAATTTGTATTTTCTTTATAAGAAGGCCTTTTGTGATGATAATTCAATTCTGTTAAACAGTTTGTTCAGTAAAATAGAATACTCATCTGTGAGAAATTTGTATTTTCTTTATAAGAAGGCCTTTTGTGATGATAATTCAATTCTGTTAAACAGTTTGTTCAGTAAAATAGAATACTCATCTACCAGGCAGATATCTGAAACTGCTGTTAAAATAAATGTTCTGACATACCTCCACCATTTGGTCATGAGTAGGATGACCACAGTAAAACAGTTCTGATGTCCCAAGTAGCTGTTCCAACTACAAGAACAAACAACCTGCAAGCCTGAAAAGGTGTGCAAAAAGCTTGTGGGTGCCATAAAGGTGTTCTTGTATGTATGCTACCATGCAGATGTTCAAATGAGTGGACAAACTTTGAGTATAAGGAGGACATCTAAAATAATTACAAAATTGACCAGTTAATGGAATAGAGAGACTGGTCTTGAGTGTATATTGACACAGTCTTCCACAGTTCCAAACTGTACCTTAAATCCAACAGTTATGGCACTATATTAAACACACTATATATTTCAATAGTGTTATTCTAATATCTTTCATTTACTTTATTCAGGGCTTTAACACTATCAACAGAAAAAAATTCAAGAATAATTCCTGAATTTTTCCAGAATGTTAAAGAATTTCAGTTTTTCTTAGAATTTCTTGCATAAAGTTGCCAATCAATAACTATAACATTGTATTTAAAACTAAAAAATACCACTGTCACTAATATAAATGAGCTGTTTGCATAGAGTCAAGAGTATGACTCACAGATAAATATTTATTGTCAAAGATTTAGAATTATTTTTTTCTACAAAAAGTACTATTTCAATCAATGATTTTGTAACTTCCCATCCTCACATGTTTTGATAAGGATTCTGGCAGGTATTGTCAAGCACTACTTACTCTTGATGCATGCTCATTGACATCAATTTATTTCAGGAAGAGAGAGAAAAATAAAATACATTTAATGTTTTCACTTTTTTTATGGCCAAGTGATTTTGCCAAAATAAGTATTTAAATTGTCTAGCTACATACTATCTTGCCAATTCAAACAGAATTTATGAGTCATCTTGCAACAGTGTTTCCACAGTGTAAATTTGTTTACCTTGATGTGCTTGTGCTGCATCAAACTTTATTTTTATACTTAAATCTTCCAAAACTATAAAAGTTCTAGTCATAAAAATTGCAGATTAAATGAAGAATAATGAATGGTACTGAAGGCAAACTTTTAAAACTCTTTTGGGGTATATTTATTTGCTTTATGGCACTAAAGTTTCCCAAGTAGTTTCAAAACACAATAACAAAGAAAGTGTTTCAATCTTCTTATCATAACATTGAAGCAAAGCTATCATAATATCACTGTTATATACAATTGACACCATAATCATTGATGCCTAACATTAAAAATCATATGTAATAAAAGGGTATATTAAAGTCAAAATGATTATCTTTAGAATAATTGGAGATTCATCAAGGTATCTAATACAAAACATAACATTTAAAGACAACAAGGGAAGTGTTGGTCCATCAAGACTGACCAATCTACTAAACTATTAAAAAAAAAAATCAAACCTAGCTCTTATCAAAATATTTATCAAGCTTTCCTTTAAACTACCTTATATTTACTGCTTTCAACATAATTAAAGGAAACATATTTCAAAGGCCAACTACCCTAATATGAAAATACAACTATTTTTGCTGAAAGTCACTCCTACCCTGCCAAAATTTGCATCCCCTAGTCCTATCATTCCCATTATGTATGAATGATGATGCATAAACATTACAAACTCTCTTGATCTTCTATAATCCTTCAAGCCTTAAATTTATGATACTTTACTTTAATTTCTTATACCCTTTTTACATGAAGCCACCCTTTTTCCCCTATAAGGAAGTAGTCTATCTTGAATATCTACAAATTTTAATTAAAAATTTTTTCAAATTTGACCAGTCAGTTGACCAATTCACAGACAATTCTTATCACATCCCTTTAGAATTTGCAAACAATATAACCTTTTCCTATTTAATTGTAAACCATCCATTTAAAGAAAGTTCCATTTTTTTTAACTGAACTGACACCACAAGTCCAACCAGCTTATCTGCCTATTAACCTAAGCTTAGCATTCAGCCCTAATATCTTACTTGTAATTTCATTCCCACAATCAAAACTTAGTAGTATCTCCAACACAATTAAATTATAGCCATTGTAAACCTCCCGTACTCATCAATTAACCCTTCTTTCTAATATTATCCCCTATGTGCACAACAAAGTCTGCATCACTGCTACAATCAGCTACAATATTACTTGCTCTGTCAGTTATATCCTCTGCCTCTGTCCCTGGATTGCATAATCTAATTCTTTTCTCCCTGTTCACCCAACAGACTATCCTATCTTCATGCTGTACTAAAGAATTAACTACAACAACCCCTTCTTAAGTTTTTCACTTTCATCCTTTTCTGTTCTTTTTGTTTTTCTTCCCTCCTCTTGTTCCTCATCTGAAAATCTAACGGCTAAAATATGTTACTTAATAAAACCTGATCATTACAATTAAATCCATACTTCTAGTCCTAAAAGAACTGTTTCTAACTCCCTGGAAGACATTATTAGCTACTGTATACCTTCATGTAGGATAGCTTCAAATTTCTCCTCCTACCTGCAAACTTTACAAACTGCAATACTGAGTCTCAAATAAAAGCCACTCCTTGCAACCATTGCACCCTACAAACTACAAGTGCTTAACACCCACACTACTCTTTACCAGTGAAGTTGGAAATGTTAAATACAAGTAACCTATTGGCAACACTGTTAAGTGTAACATCTCATATATATATTACACTATTTTATCTTCATGCTAAAGTGATCAAGTTTACCTTTAACATACACAAATCATAAATTACCAGACTTTAGATTGTATATGTAATATACAATTTACTTAGCCCATTTTATAACTTACCTATAAGCTAAGTTGCAAGTCAAGCCTGATCAACATTAATAACACCAAAACCAACAAGCTTTAATTTAAAAGTTTAATCCTACTAATAATATTTACAAATCTTATTAAAACACTTTTTTATTAACACAAAACTACTACAACTATGTAAGAATATTAATAACATCCTTAAACAGAGTTAACTTAATGATAAACTGAGTTACAAGTCAAAGTACACAACCTAAGCCTAATCTAAAATTCATAATATGTAATCCACCAAGCCCCAATTCAAAAGTTTAATCCTACTAATATTTACCAATCTTATCAAATCAACTTTTCTTATTATTAACACAAAATCAATACACGTAAGAATATAAATCAAATTCTTAAACATATTTAAATCAGATATTCCAAAAACCTTCAAGAGCTTGGCTTTCAAATGTCTCTTCTCTCCTGTAGCACCCTCTCAACTTCATATTAGTTATGAATTTCTCTGAATATCTGAGTTTGCAACAAACATAATGTAAAACACAAATCAACAATTTTTACTATATCACTAACACAATAAAGAACCACTGAACTAAAAGTACAAAAGTATACAACGATTGAACTTAACACAAAGCAATTTCACAGAAAAAAACCAACAAGTTATTTTGCAGACAGACTTCCTAGTTAACTTTTAGACTATCATGTTTGCTCATTTTGTACTTTCTGTACCACAGAAATTTTCTCACTTTTAAACACTGACTTACAGAAAAAAAATTAACTACTTATAAAAAAATTTTCCTCTTAGGAAAGAAACATATTTAGCTTGTCTAAATCAGAAAAATCAGTTTATAGGTTACAAACTTTTATACACTTATCTTTAAATTCCAAAAGTAACCTAGACACTTCAAACTTACAAGACGCTCTCCAGAGAGGATTTCCAGTAACTTAATCAACATCTTGCCATCTCTAAGATCGAGGTACAAATCTGTGATTCGACAGTTGGCTCTAACAAGATGAGAATTCACCCACTTGCAAAAAGTCTTTTTCTGAACAGATTCTCGTTCATCTAAGAAAGAAAAATATCAAAAGGTGTCCTTAAAACTTCATATGGCTTTTATCATAATGAATAAGTGTATTTCCCTAATTATCAAATACTAGCAGATGCCCATTGAAACAATTCAATAGCAATTTTCCTAAAAATTGTGATAAATAAATATAAAATGTGCAGACAATCAAATCCCATGAGACAGACCACACATACAATACAACTGTCTAGTGGGCCATTTACAATCATCTTTGTCATTGCATCTGTTATTTCAATAGGGATAACTCCATTGCATTTCTTTTTAAGCAAAGGAGACTGAGTGCAATGCATTGTTGGCAAAAATGTTTGGGTTTCAATACAACAGATACATCCATCACAATAGAATGCTCAGCTTTGCTAAGTAACAGTAGGGATTTTTTATCTTCACTAAATGCCATTGTTCCTTGTCATTTTACTGAATGCAAGAAAAGATCACTACCAAAGTGATTGCTTTTTGACAGTTGTCATTTCCATGAGAAGTGTCAAATGGTAGTTATTCAGTTCAATTTAAAGGAATTTATTTGATATGGAACAATAAAAACACGCAAGTATATAATACTAATATGGAATATATATAAACCAAACAACTGCTCAAACACATTCTTCTATTTATACTTTTTTTCTGTTCATGCTCCTCTCTTCAAAATATTTCTTTCAATTAGTTGATGGAGGAAGTCCTATTTTGTTCATGAAATTCCCTCACAAAAATAAAAGTTTTTATTTATAACTTTTTCTTAGAATGACCATTCAGCACTTAAGAAGACTCACAGATCAATATTGGTATGAAATTTAAGAAATTGCAAAACAAATGAATAATTTTCCTGTAATGTCTCTTCAAAATAAGAATTTTGATATAATTTTTTTTGTATGATTAACTTTGCAGAAGATACAGATCATGATATTTGGCTATTACATACATGTAGATTAGTCTGTGCTATAAAGTAGTTTTTATTAATACCTCTGCTGTGGCATGATATCTGCCTGTATGCATCCTGTTGTAGAAACTATGCCATATACTAGCCTTTTTTCCCTATATCCCTGCAGATGTATAGTTGCCTTGATTATGCCTATAAAACATACCACAAAATGCACAAGTTTTCTGGTGATTATACATAGTGTAGATCACCTGAAAAATCAACGTGGCTACAACATATCTTCACCAGGATAATGTGCTTTCACTGATGTTTTGAAACAAATCATTGGTCTGCTCTGATATTCACTGCTTTACTGTTGCAGTTGCATATTGCTGTTTAAAAAAAAGAAAGATCAACTATTCTTTCACTTTTATAAGAGATTTTCATCTCTATCATTCTAGAAAAATCAAAAGCAGCAAATGTCAAAGAAGTTCCAGTGTTCACCCTAAATAAGTTTGAATAATGGATGCCAGTAAATTTGCACTGAATAGATTGAATAACTGAGAGCATGCCTGAAAATGTCATGCAAGTAATTTTTTTATAGTTACCAAAAGATTAATGAATACGATGTCACAAAATAAAGGATTCTATAGTAAACCATAAACACCCTATTCTAGTTGCCTTTAAACTACATAGCGAAATCTGAAACATTAGAACCAAATTAGTAAAGCTAAATATTACACATAGGAAATAAACACTACTGCTGCAATGTGGAAACTAAATAAAACCTCAGAGATATATTGCAAAAATACCAGTGAGCACACTAGATTTTCTGTCATGCAATCTAAAACAAGTGCTAAAATATTTGCTTCCCATCTTTAGAAGTTGCATGTTACAGTTTGTCTCCACAAACTGAATGTAATCTTTACATTTTTCATCATGTAAACATGACTATTCGGCTTTAATCTTAAAGCTGTCAAAAGGAGGTCACTTTGAACCATAAAACAGTCAAGATTTATGTTTTGTTATATGCTCTACAACAAATTATGCAGATCATTCATATATTTGAATGTTTTTAGACAATAAGAAGGAAATAGATGTATGATATTTTGCTAAATTCATTGCAACTCAACCAAAGGGCATTTAATATATTGTTCACAGGTTTCAAGAAATGCCAATCTGATGTTCTGAATTACTTGCACACATGCTATAATTAACTGGACATTAAGAATGAATATACATCAGTGCCATAATTAGACATAGAACTAGACAAGATCTCATTCAAATCCAATAACTTGCAGTCCACAAGAGGAAGACAAAAATGGCTAATTGAAATTTGAAACTTATTTATATCAAGTTTCATTTTTTACTTGTACAACTACTATCGATAATTTTTAAACTAATTTTGAAAAAATGTTACTACTTTAGTTAATCATTTAAAATAAAATTCTATCAAGTTTCATTCATATGAGTTCTAAAAATTATTTTCTGTAAAACACTTTTCATATCTTAATAATCACTTTAAAACAAAATAATCTGAACTTAATTACAAAATAAATAACTTTGTATAATCTTGAACTTTTACTTAATACAAAATCAATAAAAAAAGCAAAAGTTGAACAGTTTATCCTTTTGATATTGATAGGTAAAAGTGTGCATGTCACGATTGTTACATTCAAATAATTAAACTACTTTATTATCAACGTAAATGAATAAACTTATCATGAAAACATAGTTAATAAATCAATCTCCCCTTGTCTGTGTCGTGATGTTTGTTTGCTCTAACTCATTTTCTATTTTTTCATCAACCCTTTATGATGTCCCAGGTTTAATGAAATTACTCATTATAATAAGACAATTTTTATAGTCTTCAATTTTCTTTGCAGATATAAACCAGAAAGTCACACCCACTTGCCATGCCCTCCTCTCACAAATTGCTAGTGATTATCTCTAACATTCACTATTACATCATTTATACTTAACAACACTAAAGTTAATTTACCAAGTGACATAAAATTCTACCTTGTTTAGAGATTTTCAGCTATCCTGCCTAAAGATTCAATGTTGCTCTTATTAAGTTCAGATCGAACATTTAAGGAAATTATTTCAAAGCATTCATGCCTTAGTTCAGTGTTTTCCAAACTAAATAGCAGCAAAGTTTCTGTTGCCCCCCCCCTCAAATCAAAATAATTCTTGTACCAAATGCACCAAAGAATATAGACTAATAACATGCAAAAAGTAGACAAATTCCCTTACCTCTCAAGATTTTTTTTACTTTCTAGCTATGCGACAAGAGCCGTTACAAATTCATCCAAGCTAGTCGATAACTTTCCCACAAGAAAGAATCTTGTACTCTGAGTGAAATTGACGCTTATCTGTTCAGAACACAATGTTATACAATACATCATTTGATAGATGAAAACCTTGACTTTCTATTGGCTATAGGTAATATATAATGAAACATGAGAGAACTATCGGCGAATTCTGAAAGAGAGGATGTGACAGGATGGGCCCAATTTTCTGTTTGATAGCTTTGTAACGAAACAAAATTGGAGAGTATAAAAATAATGGTTTGTCTGAGCAATAACAATTTTACAGAGTAATTTACATTTAATTTTGTACTTTTTCAAGGGGAGGTGGATAAAATAGAGATAATGACATGCTAAGAGAAAATGTGTAAAATAGGTCACACTAGTGGAAATTCAGGATTTATTTTAATATTGCCTTGTATAATTAAGAACTTACAGCTTCTATACTATTAAACTATGGATTATTAGCTAAGATTTTATGCTATTCTATTTGGTATAACAAACAAAAAAGTTGTTAAATAAAATTTTGAGTGTAAGACACTAAAACCTTGTGTCATGCAGAGTAAAAGGTACCCGGGACAATAGAGTTAAAGGTTGGTTAAATTAATCAAGTTCGTACAATGATGGGGTTGAGAGAATAACAGATAAAATAGTTTTACTGAGAAAACACTTTATGTTCATTTAGAGGATTTAAGGGCTATACAGATGACATCTGAAAACTGTAAGATGAAGAGTATTTTGTCTTAACATGAAAATCACCTTGCACCCAGATCAGTCAGAGACATACATAAAAAACAAAAACAAATGTGTATAAAAAGACTTAAAATGTTTACTAAAAGCTTGCCAAATTTGTGAAGATACACTTACTACATCAAAAGTTAAAGAATATGTACTTTACTTTCATGGTTACCTAGTGGATGCAAGGTTGGTCAAAGTGACAAAGCCAGTGTAGCTGTGACATACACAGAGGAGTGGCTGGGTGGACGTTAGCCCCTGCCCTTCTGCTCCAAACTGCTCTTTTTTATTATAAAAATTGTCAACAACTACAAAAAAGTATACCTGATTCTACATCTAGCTTGCTGTGAATTATTAAACTCTTTCAGCCCGGGTTCGGTCCCTAAAACCGATCTCATAACCATTTTGTGCTTGTTATAGTTTTCATGCTATAACCTTTAAATTAGTAAGTGAATGTTGACGAAATTTGGCAGATTATCAGTAAACATTACAATGCTTTCATACAAAAGATATCAATTTTCTTTTTTTTATTAAGTCTTAAGGTTTGTAAAGCAATGTTTCTTTCATGCCTTTTTTTTCACATCTTACCTATCTATCTTGCAAAATAATTTTCATTTTAAGATTAAAAATATTTTTATGCATCAGAAACTTTTGAAATTTCACATGCAAAATCTTTATAATGTCTGGATAATTATCAAACATTTTTAAAGAAAAAACTTTATATTTTATCTGTTATTTTCAGTAATTAATCTCTTTATGGGTTCGGTAGATTTGACCGATCTTGCAACCACTATAAAAAATTAGGAAATAATCATCAATTATGCCTCTTTCATTCAAGAATGAACACAAATTGTAACACGAAAACATAAATGTTTAGATGAAATAGCTTAAATCTCATAACATTATACATCTATATATATTCATTATATTGACCTCTCACCCGTGCACTCATGCTACCATATCAAATAACATAAAGGTGACATTTGGTCTACACAAAGTAACTTGTCTTGGTTGTGTTTTAGTTGACTATTATTTTCTAAAATACAGTCACATTTCAATTACTATACATTATACACGTATATAG